TCTCTTCTGCACTGGGACACAGAAAGGTGCAGAGAAGGATGTGCCACCTACCCCTTGGTGTCAATGCCAGCGTTTGGTTTCATGAACACCGTGATAAGGGAATTTTTTTGTACCTCTGTGAAAAGAGACTTTGATCTCCTCTTTTAATCTGAGCCACCATGAAGCCAGACAGGCAGGAGTCCTGCAGCCAGCTGGAAAACATACAAAAGTGATCTTAGCTTTATGCTAGTAACTAGGACACTCCCAAGGCCAATATGGACAATATTGTGCCTTGACAGAAAAGCAGCTAAATCCTTTAACCTTAGATTTCTTTCCTAAATGTTAAAACCATAGGAAAGGTCATCATATAAAAAAGTGAAATGCCACCACTCCCTACAGTGAGGTTTGTTGTACTGCTGACCACACCTCGTCTGGTTCAGGCTTCCTCTGGGACCTTAGGAAGGCTTGGTGTGCCCATCCATATTTACACCAGGATCACAGCAGAGCATGTGCAGGAGGATTGATTTCCATCTTGCAGCACATGGGGACAGGCACAATGAAGCACCAAAGGAAAGAGGCAGACACCTGACAATGGGCTGCCTACAGGGATAGTCAGCCCAGTGCAGCAGGCAGGCTGGATTACTGTCTAGACCCTGGCTGGGCTGCAGGTCACCATGAATACAAAATTCAGACAGACAGGATCACACCAGTGTAATCCATAAAACATTGCAGATATCTTCATTGTCCTATGCACTTGGCAAAAAAAAAAAAAAGGAAGTTATTGTCTCAAACTATAGGAACAGACTGTTATAGCCAATGCTGAATCTTTTCAGCTGGGTTTCTGAGGGGCAGAAAAATAATTTTCACAAGATGGTCTGTTTCTAGTTATCTTCCTGAGGCTGTCAGACTTTGGTTTCCAGGCAGCTGTTGCTGCTGCTACTTTTCCTTTGGCAGTATTTTTTAACCCAGCTATTTAAAATGTTTATGTGCACTTCTTTTGTGCAAGATACTAAGATTTCTCTGAGTTCTTGTAGGAGACAAGAAACAGTGATGTCTAGCAGCTTAAAGCTCTGCTAAACTTCTCTGGAATTGCATGGGAGCAAGAAAAGACACATCTCTAGCCCAAGGCTCTCTCCCTTCTGAATTCAAAGCCTGTCATAAACAATAAAAGCATTAAAACTTTTTGTCATGAAAAGTTGAGTAAATTCTTCGTAACTTAGAGTATAAGGCAATAGGTATGAATATATTACCACGTACACTCTGAGGTTATCAATGTTCCCTGTGAAGCTTTAGATTTATAAAATTTATCGTCTAAGTGAATTCAACAAAAGTGTAGCAGGAAAGCAAGGAGTTACTAGTTGATCAGTAATATTTTAATAGCTAAATAGATTCCAAGAAAAGTCAGATATCACAACAGTAGTGCAAGCAGAAGTAAAAATAAACCATTAGGTCACAAACACAAAATTGCTGAGAGTCAATAGCCTGAGGTTGGCAGCAGGATGCAGAACACCAACCACTGTACATGAAACACACTAATAGCTGCAGAGAAACTGTCCAATAAAATAGACCAGTGACTCAGGGTCCAGGAGATTTAATCTGACACCATTCCAGGGATATCAGCATATGACTTCAAACACTGCATTAAGAGATAGAAAGCTTAATAGCTGCTTTCTGGTTTAGTACAATGCCTGGTGATAATATTCCTGAATTTAGAACTCATAAAATATCTGTCGCCTCCAGCAGCAATATCTCAGTACTTTACTGAGATCAAATCCTTTACTGAAGTGTGTCAAATAGGTCAGAGGCAGATGACAGTACATGACAAGGGGCACCACTTCCATAGAAGCATTTATAAGAAACAGAATATATAAGGCCAGAAGAGATATATGGGAGCACAGATATTCATTACTCTAAAAGACATTTTCAAGCCTCCTAAATCTCTGGTCATGGATTCTACCCAGTACTTTCAGAAACTAAAGCGGAAAGCAGGCTAGCAGACATTGAATAAATCTACCAAGCATATATGAGAAAATGGAATGCCACTGATTTGGATCTGCCCCCTTTGTTCAGTGAAATGGTCAGGCAGTCTAGAGAGCCTCAGTGGCCAGCTCCTGGAAATCAGCTCCTTTGAACCGGACATTTCCCTAGTAGAGTAAACAATCTCATTTCACTTCCAGATCTTTTTCAGCATCAGGTGATGGTGCTATGCAGCAGCAAACAAGCAATTCAAGTAACACTGCTCCTTTGTCTTGGATACCAAAAGTTTATCTACAAAAAAGGTTGAGACTATTAACCTTTGGAGCTTGAGCTCCAGCTAGAAATTAATTTTGCTTTACTGCCCATGTTTGTATGAAAACTACTTAGGATTTGAATATTTACAGCAGTAATGGCCTTTGAAGTTCAGTCCTTAAAGGCATTAAGTTATGAAAAATGGTTACCCACAAAATATGAGAACAGTGGACCTTACTTGTTCATTATGTATATTCTGTATAACTACTATGGGATAAACCTCACCCAGCTGTGTTTGACTGAGATCAAAAGTAATAAAAGACTGATAATAAATACTGAATTGCTATAGAAGAATCTGAGCTGAAGTTCTCCTTGCACAAATGACCTGAAATCAACACTACACTTTACACTACGCTTGTAGAATTTGGAAGTAGAAAGCTGAGAGATGCATGAAGATTAATCTGTTATAATTCAAAAATCTTTTATACTTTTAAACAAGGCTCTACAAAACAAGGTCACAAAGGACATTCCTCATTGTTCATTAAAGCTGCTATTTCCTTGTATATGGTACTGCAGGGTGGAGTACAACTATTTTCTGCAAATCAACCAAGAAAGCTATCAGAATACAATAAAATTTAAATATGTATTCTTATCAGATCCTCCCTTAAGAGCTAAATATTTTCATTTTGACTGCATTATGTCAGATAATTTAATTCCAAGGGAAAAGATTTTACTACTCAGTATTCACTATGGATTTTGTCTCCAAGAAGTCTGCTATTCTGCCATTTCTATACTGTAATCTATATTGAAATGCTGGGATATGGTACCAGTTTTTTGTTACACCATAAACTACATGAAATGATGCCAGCTCACCACTAGGTGAACTGACCATTCAAGATCTGGGGCTGTGTTACAGGCCACAGCAGCAATTGGTGGGACTAGGTTCAGGCCAAAGGAAAACAGGAGTTTTCTCAGGGTATCAACCTTCCTTCTTTTGTTCCTCCAGCCAGAAGACTGCTCTGGAAACTCTCACTGGCACTCTCCAGCCTGCTGCTCCTGAGGGACACATGGAAGCAGTGTCCACTTACACCAGATATTTCCTTTTCCTCCCTGGACACATCCCAAACCCAGACTACTGGAAATATGTAGACACTTTCTAGATATTTTCAGGTCTCTTACTTGGCTGTAACTTCCCTAGACCAGCTCCCTTAACTTCTGCTGGTTTTCCCAGTTCTTGCTTCACTGTCTGTCCTCTTAAGGCAGAGCTGGTCACCCCAGATACAGGAAGAAGGAGAGAGCAAAATTCATTCTAATCTGCTGAGAAAATTCAGGATAGCCTTGGCTAGACTGACCCCAGGTGATTTGGTCTGAAAATGCAATCTGGACATTTTCTACCCCAACAGACACGTGCATTCTGTAACCAGGAGTGCACAGAAAATTCTGAATGTGGTTATTTAAACTTACACCTATGATACACATACAAACTGAATTAATTTTATTATCATGCTCTTAAGATTTCTCTTAAGAAACAGAGATGCTTCAGCATATATTTCCCACTTCAAGATGCCATGAGTGCTGGCAGCACAGAAGCAGCAGTAAGTGGGTTATGACCATACTCATTAAGGTGTGTGGGCCAGGGCAGGTGACTGCAGAGATGGATGGAGGAAGATATGTCTTATTTAAAGGAATGCATTGAAAATAATTATATAGATTCATGGAACTTCCAAGAAACCAATTTAATCCTCTTCTATATAATTTTTATGAAAAATATAGCAATGGAAAGATTTAAGACATTCTTCAGTCCCTTTGTCTAATTTTTTCTTACAGTTTAATATTTAGTAACTTGTCCTGTTTCATTATACATCTTCTTGCATCTTAAGCAATGAAGTTGATACCACTTCCCTTAGAGAAATATTCCATAACTTGCAATTTCACACTTGTCAGGAAATTTTCTCACACCAGCTTGCATGCTTCCTGTTCTAATTCTCTCCAGTTCTGCTAACAGTATCCTCATCTACCACTTCCAGCAAGAGCAGCAATGACTTGTTGTTACTACTCTTGTACTACTCCAGCAGCTATGGGATGCCCACAGTTCCCGTGCAATTTAACAAAGATTCCTGCCCCAAAGTAACAAAACACATGAATTAACATTTTGGTGATCTCATGAGAATTCATTACACATTAAACATTTCCTCTCTTTTTCAGTGGCACATAGATGCAGCCAATATTTGTATTTTGAAATGCAGAAGAATTGTACCTTTTGGGTTTGACTAGAACCAGTCACATCAGCCTAAAATTTTGTGTAAAGTGTGAAAACTTAACTGTGAAAAACAGCTTACCAAAACATAACATGCTTGTTGTGGGATTACTGTAAATGGTAAGGGCAACAGTTGCAGCTGAACTTTGGTGAATACAGCATCATCCATGAAAGGTGAGGTATTTCAAATGGTAAAAACTGAGCAGTATAATTCCATGGGCTTTAATGTGTTTCAGTTCTGAATTTTAAAAAAATGAAAATGTCAAATTTTCTTTAGAGATAATGTTATAGAAAAATTGTCACATGTAATTGGAACATTCTCATTTGCTAAAGCCATAACCTTTTGTCCTGTCATAATATCTTTTCCTTTTCTTGCTGTAATGTTATGATTTATAATGCTATGTACTGGTTTTAAAGTGTTATTTTACTTTCAAGACAAAAATCTAAATTACACCATTTTTCAGTCTGTTTTGTATAAGTATGGGCATGTCTCAATCCAAGATTTTTCTGTCATTTTAACAGCATTTCCCTACAGGAGAATACTCTATTGGAAAAATTTCAACTATCATTTTTTAAGTCATAAGCCATTCTCCTTAAGCAATTAAAATTTCAAAATTAACAAAAGTAAAGAATTTTGTTGTTTTCCTGAAGTGGAAATTTTGCTTAAATTGCCCATTGCTCAGGTATATGATTCAGTGCCTAGAACTGAATCAGGTCATTTATTACATAATTTTCAGTTTGCCAATAGCTTGGGTGTGAACATCTAAAGAAATCCATTAACTCCCTGTAAGTGCTGGAGTCATTAATTCTCACAGGTGTGTACTCTTCAAATATATGAGCTGAAAAATCATGATTCTTTGAGTAATATTTTTTAGATAGCTTGCTTTTGACCATACTTTCCATTGTGTAATTTAATCTTAGAAGTTTGTACAATGTGATGTGGTTCAGAACTCAGAAAATAAATCCTTAAACAAAATATTGAGGGGTGCTGCTTTATCTGCTGTTCTTAATTGTTCAAAGCAAAATAATTGAACAGTGTGGGACACAATCCAGAGTCTGAACACAGAAAGGTAGAGTTGTTCTACATGGAGATCCTCAGTATGGCTTGCCTGAGAATCTTTACTATATTTTTGCATTAAATATTTACAAGGTTAGGTTTGGGGAATTGAGTATCAAGTTCATACAGATAATTTAATATCTCTTTTTGTTGTTTTTTTTTGGTCGACATATATATGGTGTTTTGAAAGAGGGCTGTGGAACTACACCAAAGGGTAACTTCTTATCTAACCTGCATCTGGAGGAGTGGCAGGCACAAATGTTGAAGTGGAATCACTAAGGCTCAACAAAGGGACACGGCTGTCACGAGGATGTGATTCTATCCTAACCTTAAACACCGCCAGTCATGGGAAAAAATCTCGTCGGTTCAGTCCGACTTTGATCACTGCATTTCTGCAGAGGGCCTGCCCCAGCACTGCGCGCCGAGTACAAGCTTGACTAGACTCCTTCAAAGAGATCCTTAGGTAGGATGTGGCTTCCTGTGCTGGGTTAAAATCACCTTCTGAATTACCTTACCCCAAGAACATTCATTTGAAATAGTATGATTACAAGAAAAGTTGCTTCAGGAATACTGGCTTGCCTGCCTGCTGGTTTCCTAAAGGCAGATTCTTAAGATGAAACTGTAAAACAGCAAAAGGTTATTGAGCTGTAAAAGATTATGGAAATCTACAGCGTCAAAAGTAAATCAGTTTCAAAATACCTTACTAATTCTTTTACTCAAGGACATAACAGATATGAGTCCTTTTATAGATCTTTTTCTCTGCGCAGCACATGTCTTGTAAACTTTCAGCTGGACTAGATTAACGGGAATAGAAATAAAGGACAAATCCTTGTGTCTGATTCAGCAGGATCATCACATATATTTAACTCCAAACACCTGATTCCCTCTAATTCAAACTTTAAAGCATGAAGGATTCATGACTGACTGTTGCTAGTAATACTGCAAAACAGACAGGCCTCATGTTATTTAAGTAATATATCATATCAATATATATCTCTGAGATATACCAGAGACTTTAAGCGAAGATTTTGGATCTTTTTATGCCCTTCTACCTGATGAAACTTAAATGTGAGAGCATGGCAACACAGAGTATCCACATGAAATGGCACTGCAGTATCAAATAGACACCAGCAGGTTTACAGCCAAAAATTACAATGAAAAGAGAGAATGTTTCAATTTCAAAATAATGTGGAAAAAACAAATCAATAACTGCAGCATATGAAAAAGGAGGGTAGATACATTGAAATCCATGGAAAACCAGAGTCACAAGAAAGAAGGTAAGAGGAAATAATTAAATTGTGTATGTGTGTTTTTTCCAGAATATGCTAGAAAGTGAACTGTGGGAACTGGAGAAAATGTTGAGCCAGGTATCTATTGAACAATTCAAAAAGAAGCTTGGAACATTCATGGGAAATGAAATGTATCAAAGAGTTAAAAAGAAAACTGTAAACACATCCAAGAAATCAATAAGAGAGATCAAAATCTCACAAAGAACTATGGGAGACAGAACACTTTAGGCTAGGAGAAGGTGATGTGGTATAAAGATGACCTGAAAAGAGAACACTAATAGAAAATACAAGGGAGTCACATTATCCCAAAACCATGAAGGCTCTAATGCATTCAGTCCAAGACTTCTCTAGATAGATGACACAGAGCAAGTGGCACACAACACTCACAATGCTGAGAAAAACTTCATCCCAGTGCAGAAATCTGTCTTTGAGATTAAATTTCTCCTTAGCTCTATATCAAGAAAAAGAAAAGATTGCCCCAGTTGCAGTCTTTAATTTCTTTGTGGATGTCCAGAACAATATCAGAAGTGGTGGCTGAGTCAGACAAACTCTCAGTTGAGTGTGGTATTCTAATTTTAAACATTCTGTTATTCATTCTGTGATCACATCATGAGATCACACATGAAATCTTGTTTATCACAATTTTATTACACTGGAAATTTTTGGATCTGCGCCTTCATAGTGTGAAATTCATTCATCCATATTAGTCTGCCTGAAATGCTCTCCTTGTCACATAGATGTCTCCTGGTCACATAGACTCCTTGACCAGGGAGAAAAATAAGCAGTTCAATCATGTTATCTACTTCAGACATCTCTAGAAAAGACAAAACATATCCCACATGTGTCAGCGATGCTCCATTAACTGCGAACAGGGCCATAGGTGAGTACCTCAAAGGGAGATTTCTGTGATGCAAGTGTCTCTCACTTTGAATGGAAGTAGCTTAGAACAGTTCCAGCACTTTGTGAAATAAGTGAATTTTCTAACAACAATTCATTACAAGAAAATTAAATGTGAATTGCCTGTAGATAACCTGGGGGCCAATCAGATTTCATTCCAATTGGAAGAGAAGCACAATTTAATTGAATTTATTGACTAACAGCTGAAAAGGCTGTTTCTAAGTCCATCTGTTAAGGATTGTTTATCAAGTTGAAACCAAGTATGAAAATATTTTTCTTCAGATATGGTACTATTTTTCACAGAGATTGGAAACCATTTGAATTGGGAAAAGTAGGTAAAACTGCTAGGACAGAAATCCTGGCCCAAGCAGTACCACACAGACAACAAGGGTATGCAGCCAAAGCCAGGCTGATGGTGAGGGGTCTCCTTAGCCAGAAACTAACCAAAATCAATCATAAGTATCAATTTCCAACTTAATATTCAGTCTGCATTAATCTGTGTATCATCCTGAAGATGTTATTTCACTCCCCTGCATGTCTTCCTTCTGCTTGCCAGGCATCAAAGGACAGAATAGGAAATTTGCAGGACTGAACCTGATCCTGTCCAGACTAGAGTAACTACCAGAGAGTGTGTGCAGTTACTGTTTCTGCAGCTACTGCTGTATTTGCCAAAATTAATAAAACTACTAGTCTGGGTGTCTAACAAAAGGTACATCACAGTTTGGTGCAATGGTACATCATACTGGAAGCTTCAGATCCCTGCAGGAGTTAGTGGTACTTTACTACAAAACAATTTCTAACCCACAGGCCATGAACTGTGTGATAAGCTTCATTAAAAACATATTAAAAAAAGGTTTAGAAGCAGGCTTCAAAGAAATTTGGGAAGCAGCAGCAAAATATTTTGTATGGTCACATCTGTGAAGAGCAAGGTCCATGTTTTAATCCTCTCCTCCCTCTTTCCATTCTCTTGTTAAAAGGGGAGAAAAAACAAAAACAAAACAAAAGAAGGAGGCAAAGAAGAAGAGAGAGAAGGGGAAAGAAGACCTAATGCCAGAAAATCTTTTTGAAGTATTTCTTCTCTTGATTAAGAGTTCTCAGTTTGGCAAGACCTAAATCAAGATACATCAAAGAGGGTTCAAAATAAAGAGCAGCTGAATGAAAATGTATGAGATGACAGAAAGAATAAACAATAATAAGTATGCATATGTTTAAGTCATCTGAAAGTGATTGCAGCAATGTGTTAAATGTCCAGAAATACACATTAAAATAGCATCATAACTCCCTAAGGGGAAAAAATCTGCTTAAATCTTAAATAAATCTCGTTTAGACTAAACTGCATCCACTATTCCCTTTGTGTTATGACTTCAGGAGCTTTCCCATCCTCTTTGTTTGGTTATGTATAATGGGAAAAACACTACTGTTCTTGCTCAGATTTTCTGAGGTGTCAGTGGGTTTCTGGAGGTAAGTATACTGGCAACCTAGCCAAAACAAGAACCTCTCCACCAGTCACAACTCATATGGAGGGGATGAAGAAACAAGGGCTTATAAATACCTTCTGTTTGCTGGCATTTGTTTTCCTCCAGTTGAAAAGTGATTTTTTTCTGATAAAAGTTTGGAGAATGTGATTAAACATTCTAGGGAAATTATTCACAATTTGGTGCATGATGCTTGGGAATTGAAGAGAAGACCAATGGAAACAGATGTAAAAGGGAAATACAGCACAAGACTCGGGAAAATAACAGGCAGCAGAAAGCACTGTGAGAATAGTAACATGATGGCACCCGTTTTGGTTTCCATTTTCAAATTCTCCACATCCTGGTACCTATGGAAATAATCTAACCATGAGATTAACATTGCTAACAAAGTTACCACATATTTTAGCTAGGAATATCTCAGCTTTAAAATAACCGTGTGTCATATACTCTATTTATTTTCTTTCAGATTAAAAACCTTGAAAATTCATTTTAAAATAATACAACTCTTATAAAACTATTCTTAATTGATGTTATTTAGATGGCTCTCTTTAGCACTTTGACTTTTCACTATCTGCGTTTCCATTGTGGCACTGTAAACACTATTGAACAGCACCACCATAGCTGTATTTTAACAAGGTGGCAGAATAATGGCTTTCTCTCTGTTGAATTTTTTCAAGCATTCAGACTCTAGGAACTCTTGCAGTAAATGGTTAGCAGGTAGCTAAGAAGTTGAGATTAGTTTTTGGCTCTGGTATTATCTGACAGGCTATCATTATCAGTCACTAATGCCTTTCATGAAATGGATAAAAGGTCCAGGATATCACTCATGTGGCTCTTCTAAAATGCCCTGAGGTTTTCTGTTTTGGTTTGGTTTTGTTTTATCTCTGAGAGTGACAAAATGTGGCAGACAGGAGGGCACCACAGAATACTTCTTAATCATTTCACATATGTTGAACACAAGGTGTTTAAAAGATAAGGCTGTGGAAATCAATGCATATATAGATGCTTTTTTCTTACCCTGTGCCAGAAAGCGTAGCACACTTACTAATGCTGCAACTCTACACAGGCAGCCAAGTGCAATTTATTTGATTCTGTATTTATATTGCTATAGTTTATAAGGAAGCATACTGGGTATATTTGAAAACATGAGGTGAGAATTTTGAAATGGGCGCCAGTTTTGCTTTCTAAAGTCAAACGAGCAACAGGGAGTTCTAAGTAAGTGTGGAATGCAGCACTGTCTATATTGGTGTATGATGCTTCACAATGTACCAAACTAAAATGTACCCTCCTTGTTTATTCTCAAGCAATGAGAAGTTCATGGAGCATGAAACAACAGATAGCATTCTGTAGGCTGGATGAAATTAGATCGTATCTCATGTTCTCTCTCCATTTACTCTCTGGTACTTCTAACCTAGCAATTTTTATAAAATAAAGGTGGGATCAGGCATCTGTTGTCTCCAGGTGTAAACCATTTCTTTTACTTACCCTATACTGCTAGGGTATCTTGATCTTTATTATAATAAAGGTATCTTGGTCTTTCATATGATCTTTAGTCATCTCCAGTCCAAGGAAAAAACACCAGTGGCCTGAGATCAGCTGAAGAAGTAAGGAGTCCTAATTAACCAGCTAATCGCTTCTCTCATCTTTCTTCACACCCACTAGAGACAAATCTAATGATGTTGTAGGATACAACAGCGATCTGTTTTTAATTGCTATCTATTGTTAGTAGATTGGGCTGCCTACTATAATGTGAAGGTGCTCCTGTTGAGTAGCCCTGTAGGTAGTCAAGCACATAACTCAGCAAACCAGGAATGCAGCCAAACAAAGAAGCAACTTCCCAGAGCAGGCAAATAACCTAATAGCCAAACAACTGCAACTTGGTTAGAGCAGCAAAAGCTCCTATCTCTGAGGCTACCCAGACCTAATTGGCACTTATTTTTTTCTTAGTCTTCTACTCATCTGCCAGTTCTGCAAAGTCCTAATTCTACTTGCCATGTTCACAGGTGTGCTCTTCAGCTTTATAAAGGTGGCCCACCTCAGCTTTATAAAGCTCCTTTTCCAGCTTCTTCTCCATTCTTCCTTTCCTTTCTCCTTGCCCTGCAGTGAAGCCAGAAACTCCCAGGACTGTCCCAACACCTCTTGGATCAGTGTTCATATAATTTTTGCCCTTCCTGATACTGCCAACAATGAATATGAATCTCTCTCTACCTTCTCAGTTCAAAGCATATCTGGGAGACGATAGTTAGAAAAGGCAGTTTCTTGTTTAAAAAACTTGTCACAATATTTAGGAAAGTAGGCTCCTACTGCCTTGAAACTGCAAGAGCCTAGTGTTTACCAGCTATCTGTTTGCCCAAAACACACTGGACTTATGGCTGCATTCCCTTCACCTCAGTTACATCCTCCCTTGTCCTTCTCATTGCCTTTTCCCCACCTGGTGTCATCTCTTGTCCTCAGTGTCTTCAGGAGTTCCTTCCCACTAGTTTATCAACCTTCCTAACCACACCTCAACCTCTCTGATACAGATGAAACCAAACCTGAAAAGTCTGTCCAAGCCCATTGCAGCACAAAGATTTTCCTTTTGTGGTCATTGTGGTGTAATGCCCCTTTCTTGCTCCACCTGCCAGCTCTGCCCACACAAGGGGCATGGCTGCAGAGGAACGCTCCTCGAGGCACGACAGCCGTGCACCCAGCTAAGCCACAGCAGCACCACCAAC